TTTTGACCGGCGTGTGATAGCCAGACTCATTGCTGCCCTCCTATCGACGCGCCGTGAGGTGTGACTAGCGACCATTGGGCGGCTGTGCGGGTGACGTGTCCGCCGGAGCCGAGTGCCTGGCCTAGTCGGGAGATTCAAGTGTGATTGCCAGGCTTAGTGCTGTCCTATGAATGCGTAGGTACTGATGTGCAGTGTTGATTATGCTATATTATTGATTTATATAATGACGGTTACCATTTTATTGTGTACATCAACTGCTGCGGAAAACACGTGGCACGAGACGACATGCCTACAGCACACTGTTGCTGTTGATGGGCTGCGCCAGTCTACTCAATTAGGTGCATAATATATTATATTATTAGATAATAGATATTATATTAGATGTAGTAATACGGCAGCTCCCGTGACTTTTCTGAAAATTTAAATTATGTTGCTTAAACAATGACATGATGTTGGAGCTTATGAACTAGGGGCAAGATTCAAATGGGAAATCGCGTATGGAGAACGTCGTTCGCCGCTTCCCTCAGATGCTTGGTTAAATCCCTTACTAAGGTACGCTGAACTGAGTAATAAGAGTACAATAGGGCAATAAATTAGGCTTGAAACGGACTGCGTTAATTGAAAAAGGCGCATAAATTAGTCTCGCAAACGTAGGTTGTACGTACCGCTAAGCGATAAAGTTACGCCACGAACTAGAATCGAACCCGCATCGCCCGGGTAGGAAGCGAAGATCATACCACTGAGCTACTGCGGCCGCCACCGACGGCGCCGGAGCGAAGAGTCGAGAGCAGGGCCGAGGATATCACCTTATAGCAAGAAATGTGAAAAAGATAGAGAAAAAATGTATTTAGATAAAAGATAGAGCTTGAAACGGCCTATTCGCTGGCATAAACAGAATACTGCAAGCACCCCTAGATTTTCTGTACCAGCCGTCGGAAAGTGACCCATTTCTACGGTTTTGATACGGGGCAACGCGATCTGAGGACGTGTGACGTCACAGCTTTTCGTGAAATCCCCGGATGACTCTACCTAGTATATAGGGCCTTGAACTGGTGTAAGCAAATTGACCACGGTCAAAAATGCATTACCAGAATGCACTAAAGCCAACATTTTGTGATGGTCTCGTTCCTAAGTCGGCTAAGAGCTTCGGTCCAGAAAATAAATTTATCGTTGGCATACAGTAAAATACATACCAAACTCGGCCGGTGATAAATTTTCAAGACCTCAGTCCTTACTGATTTTTGAACTCGGCCTTCGGCCTCGTTCAAAAATCCAGTAAGGACCTCGGTCTTGAAAATTTATTTACACCGGCCTCGTTCAGTATTATATAGAGTTATGAGTGTGTAAACACAAAATTGTGATTGCCGCGTTTCCCGCGTCGGCCGATGCCGCTTCAGCCGGCGACATCTTACCCTTAGCAGGCTTCTAAGTTCTAACCAAGGGCGCACACAAGGGGGGGCACACGGGCCCGTGCCCCCCCCCATTCGAGTTGGGGGGCCCAACTCGAAGGAAGGGGCCCATTTGAGGCGGCCGAAGGCCGCCTCAAATGGGCCTCTAACTAATCCTTAGACCACCGAAGACCGTGTACAACGGGCCCTCAAATGGCCTTAAAGGGCCCTCAGATGGTCTCAAAAGGCCCTCAGATGGCCTCGAAGGGCCCTCAGTTAGCGTCATAGGGCCCTCATCTGGTGTCAAACGGCCCTTAGATGGTGTCAAAAGGCCCTCAGATGGCCTTAAGGAGCCCTCAGATGACCTCAAAGGACTCTCAGATGGCCTTAAAGGGCCCTCAGATAGCCTCAAAGGGCCCTCAGCTAACGTCAAACGGACGTCAGAAGGCCTTAAAGGGTGTCAAAGGTCCCTGAGCTGGCGTCAGAGGGCCATGCCCTTGCGTCAAATGGCTCTCCGAAGGCTCTAAAGGGTCCTTAGCTGGTGACAGAGGGCCCCCAGCTGGTGCCAGATGGCCCCCAGCTGGCGCCAAATGGCCATCAGAAGGCCTCAAACGGTCCTCAGTTGGCGTCAAGCGGCCCTCAAAAAGCCTCAAGGGGCCCTTAGAAGACCTCAAGGGGCCCTCAGAAGGCCTTAAAGAGCGTCAAAGGGCCTTGAGCTAGCGTCAGAGGGCCCTCCCCCAGCTAATGTCAGAGGGCCCTGAGCTAGCGTCAAACTTAAAGTGCCCTTAGCTGGTGTCAGAGGGCCCCAGTTGGTGTCAGAGGGTCATCCATTGGCGTCTAATGGCCATCAGAAGGACCAAAAACGATCCTCAGCTGGCGTCCAACGGTCCTCAGCTGACGTCAAGAGACCCTCAAAAGGCCTCAAAGGCCCCTCGACTGCTCAAAGGGCCCTTAGAAGGCCTCAATGGGAACTCAAGAGACGTTAAACGGCCCTCAAAAGGCTTGAAAGGGCCCTCTGCTGATGGCAAAGGGCTCGCACCTGAGTCAACAAGAGCCTTGTCAAAAACGGACCTGAGAAACCTTGCCGGCCCTGGTTATCTGCGGGACTCCTACACTTACCTGAGTGGCCCCCGTTTACTGAGGGGCCCTGGTTATTGATGGGGTCCCTGGTTACTTAAGGGGCGCCTGGTTACCAGCGGGGCCCATGGTCACCTGACAGACAGACAGACAGACAGACAGACAGATAGACAGACAGACAGACAGACAGACAGACAGACAGACAGACAGACAGACAGACAGACAGACAGACAGACAGACAGACAGACAGACAGACAGACAGACAGACAGACAGACAGACAGAGATATGGGGATGGAGATAGAGTGCAAGAGGGAGAGAGAAACAGAAAGAAAGAGAGAAAGAGAGAGTGAGAGGAAGCAAAGAGAGGGAGAAGGAAAGAGGGAGAGGGAGAGAGGGAGAGGGAGAGGGAGAGGGAGAGAGGGAGGAAAGAGAGATTGAGTGAATGAGGGAGAGAGAGAGGGAGAGGGAGAGGGAGAGAGGGAGGAAAGAGAGAGGGAGAGGGAGAGGGAGAGAGGGGGAGAGAGATGGTGAGGGCAAGGGTTAGGGTGAGGGGGCCAGGGAGAGAAAGAGAGAAAAAGAGAGGAGAGAGGAAAGAGGGGAGAGGTAGGGAGAGGCAGGGAGAGGGAGAGAGGGAGAGGGGAGAGAGAGGAAGATGGAGGGAGGGAGGGAGGGAGGGAGGGAGAGGGAGAGAGGGAGAGGGAGAGAGAGGGAGAGGGAGAGGGAGAGAGGAAGAGGGAGGGAGGAAGAGAGGAAGGGAGGGGCATCTGCTAAGAGAGCACCCATAAAAATACATACCTACAGTCGGTATCGGTAACCCTGGCGTCACCGGTAGCGTTTTCGTTCAAGGTTAAGGTTTCCTGTATTAGGCAGTATTTGGCCACCGTGCCAAGCCGTAGCATGCTGTGACGTCACTGGGTAAGAGAACGTACCACGCTATCAGTATCGACTGAGACTCAGATAGACTCAGAACGACTCAGGCAGACTCAAACTGACTCAGACCGACTCAACCGACTCAAATCGATTCCGATCGACTCAGACCGACTCAGAACGACCCAAACTGACTCAGACCGACTCTACCGACTCAAATAGATTCCGATCGACTCAGACCGACTCAGAACGACTCAAACTGACTCAACCGACTCAAATCGATTCCGATCGACTCAGACAGACTCAGAACGACTCAGGCAGACTCAAACTGACTCAGACCGACTCAACCGACTCAACTCGATTCCGATAGACTCAGACCGACTCAGAACGACTCAAATTGACTCAGACCGACTCAACCGTCTCAAATCGATTCCGATCGACGCAGACAGACTCAGAACGACTCAGGCAAACTCAAACCGACTCAGGCAGACTCAAACTGACTCGATTTGAGTCGGTTGAGTCGGTTTGAATCCGCCTGAGTCCGGCTGAGTCGTTCTGAGTCGTTCTGAGTCTTTCTGAGTCGCTCGGAATCGATCTGAATCAGCTTGAGTCTGCCTGAGTTGGTTTGAGTCTGCCTGAGTTTATCTGAATCGGCCCGAGTCTGCCTGAGTCGTTCTGAGTCTGTCTGAGTCGCTCGGAATCGATTTTAGTCGGTTGAGTCGGTCTGAGTCAGTTTGAGTCGGTCTGACTCAGTTTGAGTCATTCTGAGTCGGTCGAGTCAGTTTAAGTCTGCCTGAGTCGGTTTGAGTCTGCCTGAGTCGTTCTGAGTCTGTCTGAGTCATTCTGAGTCTGCCTGAGTCGCTCGGAATCGATTTGATTCGGTTTGAGCCCGCCTGAGTCGTTCTGAGTCGGTCTGAGTCGATCGGAATCAATTTGAGTCGGTTGAGTCGGTCTGAGTCAGTTTGAGTCGGTCTGAGTCAGTTTGAGTCGTTCTGAGTCGGTCGAGTCAGTTTGAGTCTGCCTGAGTCGGTTTGAGTCTGCCTGAGTCTGTCTGAGTCTGCCTGAGTCATTCTGAGTCTGCCTGAGTTGCTCGGAATCGATTTGAGTCGGTTTGAGTCCGCCTGAGTCGTTCTGAATCGGTCTGAGTCGATCGGAATCGATTTGAGTCTGTTGAGTCGGTCTGAGTCAGTTTGAGTCGGTCGAGTCAGTTTGAGTCTGCCTGAGTCAGTTTGAGTCTGCCCGAGTCGTTCTGAGTCTGTCTGAGTCGATCGGAATCGATCGGAATCTATTTGAGTCGGTTGAGTCGTTCTGAGTCGGTCTGAGTCGATCGGAATTGATTTGAGTCGGTCTGAGCCAGTTTGAGTCTGCCTGAGTCGTTCTGAGTCTATCTGAGTCTCAGTTGATACTGATAGCGTGGTACGTTCTCTTACCCAGTGACGTCACAGCATGCTACGGCTTGGCACGGTGGCCTAATACTGCCTAATGCAGGAAACCTTAACCTTGAATAAAAACGCTACCGGTGACGCCAGGGTTACCGATAGGTACCTCTACAGTCTACGAAACAAGTCATGGGTACCTACCTCATGGGACATTTTTGACATCAATGCTTCAACATCATTATATTGACTAAAGCATTCATGTATTGTCACAAGCTATGCATTGCTTACCTGCTAGTTCAATTGAACAGGAGCCTCCAGAAAGTGTAAATCAAAATTTGTCTTGTTTTGGACCATTTTTCAGAGTATACACCTACCTAACTACCTAGCAGGAAAAATATTGAAAATTATACACACCAGTATCAAATATTCAGCACATAACATAAAAACAAGAAAATAAAAACATCCTTAACTGCCACCTAAAATAGAAATTAAAATAAGCAGAAATAGGTCAACCACAAAGGAAAACGCGCCCTATTCAAGGTCTCTCTTCAGCACCGCGAAAATGATTTATTTCCGCCATCGTAATGACGTCCTAAGAACGCCTCATTTTATATCAGCACTAAACTAAATTATTTCTCTATGGACATTGTTGAAAAAATGATTGAAAGATTTCCATTTTTTGTTGTTTGATTGCTCATTTATAGGCAGGAGATAGTAAAAAATAAAAGCTCTGCCCAAATTTGTGAACTTCTCTGACGTCAAAGAATTGTAAGAAGTTCTATGGGGGCAAAAAAATGCTATCCTCAACGTGTTCAATTACTTCTTTTTCAAATGAACCACATCAAAAGACATTGATTCAAAGTGATTCTACGTGTTTTTCACTGAATTGCAATTAACTGAACAAAACTTATGATTTTCTCAGTTATGTTGTCCAAGTCATTATTTTAGAGTTCAGTGGTCCAACTCGTAGACAAAGGGCTCTTAGCTGTTAGCGATTGCTGCCGGCCCCCGCCGAAGTTAGTTGGTAGCACTGCTGCTCCACGGCGTACATTTCCTACCAGCCCATAGGGTTTACATGTTAAATGGCCTGTTTTCGGACGTCCATCAATTGAGCAGCAGATTGATATTCGCGAATATCAAACTAAAAATTCGATATTCGGACGGGGAACGCAATAACTCAAGAACCAGTGAACCGATTTTGATGAAAATGCCCTCATTCGATTCCTCGTTCCTTATTGCAGGTTGACAGCGATTTCCAGGTCACTAGGTCATGACCTTCAAGGTCAAGGTCAAGGTCAAAGGACGGGGAACGCTCTACAGCCTAAAGTTACCGTCTGATTGGCTTGTAAATGGTCTCAATCGATTCCCCGACCCCGATTCCAGCTTGACAGCGATTTCCAGGTCACTAGGTCATGACCTTCAAGGTCAAGGTCAAGGTCAAAGGACGGGGAACGCTCTACAGCCTAAAGTTACCGTCCGATTGGCTTGTATATGGTCTCAATCGATTCCTCGACCCCGATTCCAGCTTGACAGCGATTTCCAGGTCACTAGGTCATGACCTTCAAGGTCAAGGTCAAGGTCAAAGGACGGGGAACGCTCTACAGCCTAAAGTTACCGTCCGATTGGCTTGTAAATGGTCTCAATCGATTCCTCGACCCCGATTCCAGCTTGACAGCGATTTCCAGATCACTAGGTCATGACCTTCAAGGTCAAGGTCAAGGTCAAAGGACGGGGAACGCTCTACAGCCTACAGTTACCGTCCGATTGGCTTGTAAATGGTCTCAATCGATTCCTCGACCCCGATTCCAGCTTGACAGCGATTTCCAGGTCACTAGGTCATGACCTTCAAGGTCAAGGTCAAGGTCAAAGGACGGGGAACGCTCTACAGCCTAAAGTTACCGTCTGATTGGCTTGTAAATGGTCTCAATCGATTCCCCGACCCCGATTCCAGGTAGACAGCGATTTCCAGGTCACTAGGTCATGACCTTCAAGGTCAAGGTCAAGGTTCGCGAATATCAAACTAAAAATTCGATATTCGGACGGGGAACGCAATAACTCAAGAACCAGTAAACCGATTTTGTAAAATATCTCACTGTAAAATATCTCATTACTGCGCTAGTTTTTCCCGTGATGCGCTACTGCATGTCTGTATACGGCATTTGTAACAAAACGCAGGTCCACCGAATTCAAAAGTTGATTAACTTCGCTGCGCGTGTTGTGTCTGGACGTCGGAAGACCGACCATATTTCTGACGTGGTTCGATCGCTGGGTTGGTTCAAAGCAGACGAGCTCATTTCCTATCATCGAGTTCTTGTCATTCACCGACTCATGTCATGCCTCGTTCCGCCGCCATTAGCGCAGACTATCGGTGCTCCTGCTCGCCGCCAGCACGATCACGACACACGGTCTGCTGACCTCCTGACTGTGCCACGTATTCGTACCGAGACTGGTCGCAAGCGCTTGTGTTTCAGCGGTGTGAAATTGTATAATGAGGTACCGAAGCCTGCAGGAACCTCATTCAAGACTGCTGCAAAGCGCCACCTGCGTGCCGTCGAAACGTGACGAGAGCTGGAGCCATGAGGTTTGTTGGCGAGTGCTGTGATTACCTGTGCGCCCTATATGGATAATGGGTATACTGTCACCTGCCTTACGTTTTTGTTTGTGTATCTGTGCTTTGGATGGATGCTACTGTATGTTTACCTTTTATCACTGTTTTATTTTTACTACGTACGATGGCGAAAAGCCACCAGTTTGCGTGGATCTATCGTGAATACACATTGAATTGAATTTGATGAAAATGCCCTCATTCGATTCCTCGTTCCTTATTGCAGGTTGACAGCGATTTCCAGGTCACTAGGTCATGACCTTCAAGGTCAAGGTCAAGGTCAAAGGACGGGGAACGCTCTACAGCCTAAAGTTACCGTCCGATTGGCTTGTAAATGGTCTCAATCGATTCCTTGACCCCGATTCCAGCTTGACAGCGATTTCCAGGTCACTAGGTCATGACCTTCAAGGTCAAGGTCAAGGTCAAAGGACGGGGAACGCTCTACAGCCTAAAGTTACCGTCCGATTGGCTTGTAAATGGTCTCAATCGATTCCTCGCCCCTGATTCCAGCTTGACAGCGATTTCCAGGTCACTAGGTCATGACCTTCAAGGTCAAGGTCAAGGTCAAAGGACGGGGAACGCTCTACAGCCTAAAGTTACCGTCCGATTGGCTTGTAAATGGTCTCAATCGATTCCTCGACCCCGATTCCAGCTTGACAGCGATTTCCAGGTCACTAGGTCATGACCTTCAAGGTCAAGGTCAAGGTCAAAGGACGGGGAACGCTCTACAGCCTAAAGTTACCGTCCGATTGGCTTGTAAATGGTCTCAATCGATTCCTCGACCCCGATTCCAGCTTGACAGCGATTTCCAGGTCACTAGGTCATGACCTTCAAGGTCAAGGTCAAGGTCAAAGGACGGGGAACGCTCTACAGCCTACAGTTACCGTCCGATTGGCTTGTAAATGGTCTCAATCGATTCCTTGACCCCGATTCCAGCTTGACAGCGATTTCCAGGTCACTAGGTCATGACCTTCAAGGTCAAGGTCAAGGTCAAAGGACGGGGAACGCTCTACAGCCTAAAGTTACCGTCCGATTGGCTTGTAAATGGTCTCAATCGATTTCTCGACCCCGATATCAGCTTGACAGCGATTTCCAGGTCACTAGGTCATGACCTTCAAGGTCAAGGTCAAGGTCAAAGGACGGGGAACGCTCTACAGCCTAAAGTTACCGTCCGATTGGCTTGTAAATGGTCTCAATCGATTCCTCGACCCCGATTCCAGCTTGACAGCGATTTCCAGGTCACTAGGTCATGACCTTCAAGGTCAAGGTCAAGGTCAAAGGACGGGGAACGCTCTACAGCCTAAAGTTACCGTCCGATTGGCTTGTAAATGGTCTCAATCGATTCCTCGACCCCGATTCCAGCTTGACAGCGATTTCCAGGTCACTAGGTCATGACCTTCAAGGTCAAGGTCAAGGTCAAAGGACGGGGAACGCTCTATAGCCTAAAGTTACCGTCCGATTGGCTTGTAAATGGTCTCAATCGATTCCTTGACCCCGATTCCAGCTTGACAGCGATTTCCAGGTCACTAGGTCATGACCTTCAAGGTCAGGGTCAAGGTCAAAGGACGGGGAACGCTCTACAGCCTAAAGTTACCGTCCGATTGGCTTGTAAATGGTCTCAATCGATTCCTCGACCCCGATTCCAGCTTGACAGCGATTTCCAGGTCACTAGGTCATGACCTTCAAGGTCAAGGTCAAGGTCAAAGGACGGGGAACGCTCTACAGCCTAAAGTTACCGTCCGATTGGCTTGTAAATGGTCTCAATCGATTCCTCGACCCCGATTCCAGCTTGACAGCGATTTCCAGGTCACTAGGTCATGACCTTCAAGGTCAAGGTCAAGGTCAAAGGACGGGGAACGCTCTACAGCCTTAAGTTACCGTCTGATTGGCTTGTAAATGGCGAGGTCATGACCTAGTGACCTGGAAATCGCTGTCAAGCTGGAATCGGGGTCGAGGAATCGATTGAGACCATTTACAAGCCAATCGGACGGTAACTTTTGGCTGTAGAGCGTTCCCCGTCCTTTGACCTTGACCTTGACCTTGAAGGTCATGACCTAGTGACCTGGAAATCGCTGTCAAGCTGGAATCGGGGTCAAGGAATCGATTGAGACCATTTACAAGCCAATCGGACGGTAACTTTAGGCTGTAGAGCGTTCCCCGTCCTTTGACCTTGACCTTGACCTTGAAGGTCATGACCTAGTGACCTGGAAATCGCTGTTAGCTGGAATCGGGGTCGAGGAATCGATTGAGACCATTTACAAGCCAATCGGACGGTAACTTTAGGCTGTAGAGCGTTCCCCGTCCTTTGACCTTGACCTTGACCTTGAAGGTCATGACCTAGTGACCTGGAAATCGCTGTCAAGCTGGAATCGGGGTCGAGGAATCGATTGAGACCATTTACAAGCCAATCAGACGGTAACTGTAGGCTGTAGAGCGTTCCCAGTCCTTTGACCTTGACCTTGACCTTGAAGGTCATGACCTAGTGACCTGGAAATCGCTGTCAAGCTGGAATCGGGGTCAAGGAATCGATTGAGACCATTTACAAGCCAATCGGACGGTAACTTTAGGCTATAGAGCGTTCCCCGTCCTTTGACCTTGACGTTGACCTTGAAGGTCATGACCTAGTGACCTGGAAATCGCTGTCAAGCTGGAATCGGGGTCGAGGAATCGATTGAGACCATTTACAAGCCAATCGGACGGTAACTTTAGGCTATAGAGCGTTCCCCGTCCTTTGACCTTGACCTTGACCTTGAAGGTCATGACCTAGTGACCTGGAAATCGCTGTCAAGCTGGAATCGGGGTCGAGGAATCGATTGAGACCATTTACAAGCCAATCGGACGGTAACTTTAGGCTGTAGAGCGTTCCCCGTCCTTTGACCTTGACCTTGACCTTGAAGGTCATGACCTAGTGAC